TTTTTAGAATAATTGTACATAAATAGGTTAAGCAAAACAATTGTGATTATTTCTGAGAACTTTTTAACTGCAGGCAGACTTAGGCCTACATTATGGTACAGTACAAATATTTGGAACGTCCCTTATTCTGTCCCTTATTTTCTTAAAGAATAAACACTTCTTTTCTACAAGAATAAACACTATTTTCTTAAAGAATAAGAGAAAGAATCACTATTGTCCCTTATTTTCCATTTCTTATGTTAATTGGCAATGATGACGTAATTACCTTTTGACTCCCCTGACAGCAGAACCTTGCTCAAAACAAAAAAAGTCATTGTTGGAGATATGCGAGCAAAAAATAATAGATAAAAAATGTATAATAGAAAGCGCAAAGGCGGCACTGAAAAGGCCAGTAAAAAATAAATTAAAAAAACAACAAAGTGGGCCGGTCTGGCATGAAACTCCAGGGCTGAAAATGAGTCCCACTCCGGCCCTGCTTGAGGGTGAGTAATGTATGGACTAATTTTCATTTTTGGGTGAACTAACCCTTTAAGCCAAGTCTGAGCTGTTTTAACTGAAAGAAACCTGCACTGACATATCTTAAAATATATCAGTGCCATTGATTTGTCTCAAGATGCACACCAGTAATGGTTCAGTTTTTTTTTCTTCTTCTAAGGAACGTTTATAAAAGATACTTAAATGTCCTAACTGAACTATAGCCTAAACCTGGCCTTCACATCATCCAAACGTACCGAACTCTGAAGTCAATCAAACCCGGGTGCGCACCAAAAGTGCTAGTGTGAAAGCACCCTTAGTCTAAGCCCTGACTGTGAAACCAGGGGCCACAGTTGCATAAACTGTTTAAACTAGTCTTAAAAACTTTAAACTTTCCCTTTTAGTTTAAGTTTTAATAATTTTGGTATGGGTTTTTGTCTTTTTTTTTTAGTTTCTGATTTTTTAAATATTTCTAATTTTCCTCTATTTTTTATTTTGGTTTTAGTCGTTTTTTTTTGTACTTCAACTTCAACTTATTTATCTCCATTAATTGCCTAAGCAACATTTTAAATTTTTGTTTTAGCCTATATGTTTCAGTTTTCATCTACTGAATTATTTTATTATATATTTTTTTATTTTAAATACTAAAAATGATTTTGAATAGTTTTAGTTTACAATAACAACTCTGCTGTTGAAATAAACATGACAGAAAGTAATTTCTGCGACTTCAACATTTTACAATCTAACGTTTCACATAAATACACAATATTCATTTTTACAAAATTTTGCATATATATATTACTGATCTTGTTTAATGACTATAATGACTGTACCCAGTACTATTTGTATTGTCCTTATGAGAAATCAAAATTAATTTCAGTTTCAGAAATGCATGTGTTGGATTAATCTTGCCATGTGTTTTTAGCTTGATGAGAGACACATTGTTTACCAGCATACTGGAGCTGGAAGTTGATTGGTGGCAGCTTGAGGTCAGTTTTGGAAAAGGTCAGCTAGGTGGGGTGTTGTCAAGCACAGACTAATGCCCACTGGGCCACTCTGTCTCGTGCCAGGCATCAGGGGCCAGGGGGCCCCAATTTGTCAGACATGTGGCATGCCAAACTCATTTCCATGGCTGACACACACTGCAAGCCACCCGCACAGCAGTACACACTACACAGCTGACAGGTGACAGTAAACAGGCATTGCCTGCCAGGCATGTTGTTTCACCCGTTTGAGAGTCCATCCCTGTCTGCCGAGTCCCCCACAATGGGGTGATGTTGGAGTACGGAGGATGCTAAGCTGCTTTGTCAAGGCATGGTGAGCAGCAGGAATAGCATTCATGTCTATTAAAAACTAAAGAGCAGAGCTTGCTTATTAAATAAACGGATAATGCAAATGCTTTAAATGTATAAAGTAGACAGACAGCAGGAATTTATCTGTTAGAGCAACTCTGAACCTCCCCATACTTTTCAGTGGGCTTTTCAGCACACACACACACGCACGCACGTACACACACACACACACACACACACACATTTCCACTAAACCTTGAATATTTCAAAACTGAATAGTGTTTATCATATATTATATGAGCCTGTTCCACTAAACCTTGAATATTTCAAAACTGAATAGTGTTTATCATGTATTATATGAGCCTGCTATAAAGCCAGGTAATACGCAGTCCACAGCACTGGGACTTTTCACTGTTTGTATCACTCCACTTATCTGTGATTGCACGTTCAAGACAGACTGTCAGTCTGTGCATTAGTGCTGGGGATTCCACATTGATACACCAGTAGTTGGTGGCAAGTGGCTGTCCTTATGAATCGATCAATATATGAGTCAATGAGTCACTGATTCATTCTGAAAAAAAAAAACGGATTAATTCAGGAACAAAACAAGTCACTAACGAGTGAGTCAATGAATCATTCACTCAACTGAAGTTTTCTAAGAGACTAATTCGTTCAGGAATTAAACAAGTGACTTATGAGTGAGGCCATTGAATCATTCACTCAATAGATTCATTCAGGAACAAACCAAGTGACGACTGAGTCATTGAATTATTCACTTAATCAATTTGTTCAAAATCACAGATTCATTCAGGAACAAAACAAGTGACTTATGAGTGAGGCATTAAATCTTTCACTCAACTGATTAATTCAGTAACAAAACAAGTGAGCAAGTCATTGAATTGTTCACTCAAGCAATTAATCCAAAAACAGTGGCTGCTTCCAGAAATTAAAAAATTCTGCCTTCAAGAATGCATTCCAAGGTAGGAAGGCATCAAGGCACGTCTGAATCCAACGTTAGCTTTACTTCTTGTCTTTTGAGATACCTTAATCTGATTGATTGTTGAAGGCAGCATAGATGTATCCTTTTGAAATCCCACAATCCTGTGCATTCCATTTTGTGACAGTTGAGCTATAAAAAACTAAATATGGCGTCTGAAAGTTGTGGTTGGTGGTCTGTTTGTGTGTAAATGTGTAAAATGTGTTTTTGACCAATGTTTTCTTTTGATGTTATTTCTAGAAATTAATGTTAAAATAATTAAATATTTGCTTGGTTAAGTCGTAAGCTAACTCTATTTTGTTTCTAGACCATTAAACCGTCATGCTGCCTCAGAGGTCTCTCCCAAAATCAGTTTGCTGAAGTGCCTTCGTGCACAAACGCTGACTGCAAAGTCATTGCCTGATAAGGCAGCAGGGCAACAAGTTAGCAGCCTAAACTTTGTGACACAGCCACTGATTCACTCAGACTTATGAGTGAGTCACTGAATCATTCAATCTGAATCAAATGATTTTTTCTAAAACACAGATCCTTTCAGGAACTAAACTATGGGTCGCTCTGAAATGCGCAACTCAGTTGGTCCTGCTTTTGGATTCATTTTAATTTTGAAGCAAACACACAAAATAACTGCCAGTATTGTGCCGTCAGTTTACTTCTTATTCAGAAGGGAGCCCTTGCTTTTCGTTGGCATGAGAGCTAAAAGTGGTGAGCTCAGGGGAAGAAATATCTCAAGGTCACTGAATTATAGACGAGGAGAGATGAGGTGAGCTGAGAGGAAAGGCCTGCTCCTTTCCCCCCTTTCTTTTTGCTGAATGAACTCAAGAAGGGTCTGTTCTGTTTTTCGGAAGCATG